AGAGACTGAATAAAACATGTTCCTAGTAATAAAAAAAGAGTGTTTTTGCTTAAAAAGTGTCCAATAACCACTCACATTAAACTTGCCATATAAGTACACATAGTAACAATTATTATTATGCCTTGTTTTTATACATTTTTTTAATTAATTTATTTTTCAAAAAGATTTAATACCTAATTACATCTTAACAAATGCTCACTTGGCCCTTATTAGACAGACCTTTAAAAGAAAAGAGAATAACTCTAATTTTGCAAGTTACAAATGATTGCCTTATTAGTATAACAATTTTTATGTTCAACTTTTCCTTTTTGGTTGAAAATGCAAAGGGCAAGGAAATCGCCTTGAAAGTCTTGGTTCAACTAATGGCAGGTCGCAAAGAATATTATGTTGGACACACACACATATAACATTTATGAATGATGATGCAACATCACTACCCTATCCGATTCATGGGTCTGTTTGGAAGGTCTATATTTTGGCTAGTTTTTAATAGATAAAAATTTTCGCAAATAAATAGGATAGGTCTGCAATAAATAGGTAGGTATGCAAGCTTGGCGAGAATTTAATTTCTTAGCTATTACATGTACATCAAACTTTTAATCATTCCATTCCTACTTATATGATTAAGGGTTTTTTTTAAAGGATGTTTGTCCTTAATACACCTAACATTCACCTAACCTACCATATATATATATATATATATTAGCAATTATTATCATCCCTTGCATTTATATACTTTCTCTATTTAATTTTACCCACCCCTTTTTGTATTTATTTACTTTTTCTAATTAATTTTATATTTTTAAAAATATAACACTTGAAATATATTTTAATGAGTGTCCTATGAGCACCTGTTAGACAAATCCATTGATTAATTTAATGAATTATGATAACATATATAGGCATTTACAGGAAACGTAAAACTACTTTACAAGAGGCTTTCAATATTTTGGCACTTGCATTTAAAGTTCTTAAATCAGAGAATATGTTGGTAGCTTTTGAATCTTATGAATTCCATGAAATGAATTCTATTGAAAATTCAACATTGTACGGAACATCGTAAACTCGCAAACACTCTTCGAGAATGCCTCCTGTCATAAAGCATCTTTGTTGGATGTATCAAATTTTTGGTTAGCACAAATCTTTTCAGAATACCCCATTTAATTTTAATTGGGCCAGTACTCGCTGGACTTAGAATTGACTAGTTGAGTTCCAAGAAGACTTTTGGATGGTCCTCTGTGGTGTGGCTAATAGACACAGGCCCAGTGGATTCGCTCCAAACTTCTTAAATGAGCATCTACTATTCGCCCCTTTTATTTTCAAATTTTCATTTTTTAGGAAGAGGTAAGATTTAAAAACTTGGGAGGAAAAAGGGCATATGAACACAAGACTTCTGAATCCTAAGACCTTAATTTTAATTATTGGGTCAAGATCTCTTCGGCTTTACCCACCCAATTATATTATCCATGAAAATTAAATCTGCAATTGTGGTTATATTATTAAATGGAAAAGTGCCTTGATTAAGGTTATATTATTATTTTCAATTGCTTCAATAGTTTTAGTTCTCATCGTTCAAAAAAAAAAATAATTGAAGTCTACCAAATAACTTAAAAATTAACTTTAGGGCAACATCAAATTTTTTAGGGTGCACACTTATAATCTACCATTGAAAAAACTAAAAGCAAATTAAGTTGTTCTTGAATTTGAATTGAAAACTAAAAGAGAATTATCTATATCTATACTATATATAAAGGGAGAGCATTGGATTTGGTGTAAACCTTTTTTGTCTCTTTAAAATTTTCAACTTTACCCTCATAATCACTTGATTATACATTTACCTTCTGATTACATGTTATTCATGATACTAACCGATGTAACTACAACTAATTTTCACCAATAAGTAACCGCAAATATTGTAACCACCAAATTAATTAAAATTATATTCAAAAAACTTTTACAAGATGATTTTTTTTGTTTATAAAAATTTTATACTAAATTCTTCCATATAAAAAGTAATTGTTTCAAATTACATACACATCGAATGTACACTCATGACTAATAATATATAAAACCTGAGTACTACTTTACCGTGTTGATACATAGTAGTCATTTTTAAAGTTTCTTCTTTACCCTCTTTAAAAGGGTAAAATAACATCAGTTTTGTTGCAAAAATAAAAAATTTAAAAATAATCCCAAAACTAACTACCGCTATCTCTACATTGCCATACTGTCCACATTATTGTTGTTCAGTTCGCAACAATACCTCACCAAAACTTCTACAATTCGCGCCAGCCTTTACCAATTTTTACAAATTACATTATCTATTGAATAAGAAAAAATTAATTCCAAAATTGTTAAACTTTGTTGAGCAACGTTCCATTACCCATATATGTATCATAAAAAACAACTCTACAATTTTTAAAGATTGAGAATTTATAATATCTACAAAATTTACACAAAATTGTTGGGCTAGCTTAGTGATTAACCTTAATTTTTTTTTTCTTTTTGGTAATTTAAAATTTCGGGCTAGCCTAGTAATCAACTTTTTTTTTTTTTTGATAAAACAGATAATAGTATTATTAATAAACTAACAGAAAATTGTCCAACATGATTTGCTTGATAAAGAAATGCACTAATGATAGAAAATACATAGAATATGCCACAAATATATTTGATTTAAAAAATCATTAGATTCAATAGAGTTTCAAATAAAAAGATCACATAGTGAATCACAAACCATCATATTTGACCAATTGCTAGAGCTACTCTATAAATATATATGCATGTCTATTCCCTTAGATTTGTTATTCAACTTGTTCAAGTTAAAAACTAATGGTGACGTCTAAACAAAAACTCAAAAAATTCTAGATCTAACATATAAATCTGAAAAAACTCTTAAATATGAGAAAAAATAGCAAAAACACTAAATAAAACTCCCAATAAGATATCTTCGGAGAGAAGAAAACTTTTACTAATAAACATTAGGAAAGAGAAAACTCTCACTAGTATATTCTAAAAGAGACTTTATTAAACATTAAAAATAAAAAAAGGGTGGACATTGGCTTGAGGCCAAAATCTTCCTCCCTTGGAGGAAGAACGATGGGCAGGTGTTGGGCCCAAAACCCAATTTAATTATGTAGATAATGAGTGTATTTGAATAGGCAATTGTTTGGGATAATTTTTTTAAAAATATTGTAACACTTTTTTTGTATGATGTATATGAGATTAAAAAAAGTGGTTGAAAATTGTGTTTATAATTAAAGCAAATAAAAATATGCAAATAATAAACTATCCAAACAAACTTACAAACCTAATATTATTTAGGTAACAGTGTGGTGACTAATTGACCATCAAACTCTCTCATTTTCCTTTCTCTCTTATGAAGTTCAGATTTTTTTTGGTTGAATCTTAGAAAGAAAGAAAAAACTAGGGCCCCGTTTGATAATTTAATTCAGCACTTAAACTTAATGGATTCATATCTTAACATGTTTAGACGCGTTTGATAACAAAAAATGAACATTTGAATTAATTAAGTGGCATTGAATTTCTTAGGTAAAACGTGATTCAAAAAATAAATGATAAACTATTCACTTATCACTAAATGTGATATACATTGAAATATATTAGATTTAATACTTAACAATTCATCAGTTAATGGATTCACACTTCAAATTTCACTTTTCAAACTTTAATTTTATCAAATGTACCCTAGGTAAATGTTGAATCCTCTACCTCTTCTCGAGAAAATTTTTCACTATCTTAACCAACTATTTGACAAGCATAATAGTTGGTTTTTTACCAATGAAATACCACCAATTGGACACGTAAGAAACCCGTAATTTTTTTAGATTGTATTTAATGTGAAAGTAATGATTTTGCAATCTTAATTGGAATATCTTCATTAGTTAGAAACTAAACACTAGACTTGCTAAGTAATTGGTCAAGACGATAATAAAATTTCTCTTCTTTTCCCCATCTCCCGTACCTCCCTTGTACGAAAATAATTTTCGGCAATTGCCATTATTGGTAGATTAAGGTTGCGTTGTATATTGTCAAATAAAATTTTGTCACTTGAGGGGGCATTTGGTTAATAGTTAAGGTTGAGATCTCAAGAATTAGAAATTTTGAGTTTAAATCTTTTTTCCCACTCCCCGCTCTCCTGCAAAATAAAAATTAAAAATTAATAGTAGAGCTTTAATTTAGCTAACTAATTTTGGTCCTTCGGTTTTACCCATTTTTGTTGGGTTTACGGTTGGTTCTAACGATAAATTTGCCAATTCCCGTCAATTGTCCTTAATTGGCCAAAATTACGTTACTTTGAGGATGAAATGTGTTTTGAGTGAAACTTTGAGGATGAAAATGGTCAACGACCCAAACTTTGAGGATGAAAAGTGCATTTTTCCCTAAATCTTTTTTCCCATTCCCCGTTCTCCTGCAAAATAAAAATTAAAAATTGAAATCTTGCCAGAATCAAATTGAAATCTTGTTAGAATATTCGCGTCTTTATTTTCCAGACTTGCTGCCTTTGTCCTTTGATTTTATGGTTCTTAGTCCCGTTTCCATATGATATAAGGGCCGAGGAAAATCCAGGGTGATTGATATCTATTATTCTATTTACTCAGATTTTAATTCACTAAAATAAGATTTTAATTAACTACGCATAACACCATTTAAAAAGGAACTGACAATCTTATCTAAATTTTGAGAATTTCCTAATAAATAATTTACATTTAACTCATTTCCACTGATTTTTTTCCTGTACAAGACCTTTTAGATTAGATCAAATGGGGTCTAAATTCTTCCTAATTGTTTTTCTTAAAATAAAAATAAAATTGTTTCCAATTAATCCCCAAAACAAAATACTGAACAAGACTATCAAGCAGGGCCCCATTCTGACTTCCTTGTTAATAGAACTCTAGAACACAATAGAGTTCCAGATTCCTCCAGGCCATTCTAATAATTTGTCCAAAGATAAAAATTAGGCTTGACGGAGGGTAGATTAGTCCATTTGCTAAATTCTCATCTAACCCTAAATTCTACCAAGTCTTTATATTCCGTTACCAGAATCCAACCCAACCACGTAGAAGCAGTGCGGCGGTGGCCCTTCGGAATCCTCAGATGCCAGGCCACTTTTCCAGCCAAATGATGGTGGTTTGGTTCGATTTTGCTGCGGGTACGACATTATCCTCAGGAAAATTTAGCTTTGGTTTTGAAATTGTCGATGAATTTTGCTGTGTTGATGCTCGGTACTATCGAATGTCATGCTAATGACGTATTCGACCGCGGTTTCTTTGTATAACAAATTGATATTAATTGTTACTGCCTCTTGATATTTGATATTAAAAGTATAAAAGATCGAGAGGTTAGATGGTAGCAAATGGAAGGAAGTTAAAAGATATTAATTTTTCTTTTAACGTTTTCAAATTTGATTGGGTGACTTGAATTGGATAACTTTGGGTTCAACTTTGGATTGGATGGCTTGTGCAAAAGATATTGTGAGTTTTGTTTGGTCTGATATGTTTTTGTGATGGATACTAGTTTTCGGTGTGAAATCTTGAGCAAATCCTTAATAAGGATGCTCAATAAGGACTTTGAAGATTATGAGCATCGTGAAGATCGCAAGAGGAGTTCATCAAAATTGCCGAAATCGAAAGGCTTCAGATTTGCAAATTGCACGACGAAGTATGTGTTATTTTCGGCTGGAATAGCTGGTGTTTTGATTCATGAAATTTGTCCAAATTGGATTCTTTGTATTCTTATCAATCGCAGCCTATTGTAGTATTGTATTAGAGGATGATTTACTATTTGTAATAAAAGATAATATGGGTTGTTTTTAGGCACCAATGCCTTTTTTTTTAGTAGATTTACTTGAGCTATAAAATGAGAAAAAGAAATCCTTGTTTTCTTCTTGTGCAAACAGTATGTCAGCAATCGGACGTTTGTTGGTCTTATGCGTAAATTGTGCTTTCCTTGCATTTGAATGCCAAATTTGTTGAAAACAAATTGAGGCTATTACTTTTTTGTGATTATCTTGTCAAAAGATTATTACAACTTTCCTGCTTCTGCAACTTTTGTTCCATCTTGTTTAGTCGTCCTTTTAACTACACCGTTTTAGTGTTGGTGCAAGTATGCTTGATGGTTGAACAATAAGCGAAATTAGATTGAAAACATCAAAAGCTTTAGAGGCCTTTAAAATGTAGTTATAACTAACTTGTTTGTCCTTGATCATAATTGGAAAGGGGTCAAACAACAGGTATTGCATTTGTGGTACCAAATTTTCAGTACTTGTTGCCTCTGAATCGTTGATGATGTTACTTGCCTCTGAATCTTACGTATTTCCATGAAAACATAATCTGCAGAAGATTCAATACTGTACAAACTGAGGTAAATTTACACCAAAAAAAAAAAAAAACTCTTTCTGCATCTCTGCTCTCCTGCCAAAAAAAAATTTGAAAAAATTGAAATCGAATTGAAAATATTTGCTTCCTTATATTTCGACTTGCTGCCTTTGTCCTTTTGATTTAAGGATAATTTCAAAAACCTCCCTTGAACTTTCTGACAGTTTCACTCCCGTCCCTTGAAGTTTTTGAAAATATCAAGGACCTCTCCTAGTAGAATAAGCTGATCTATCGATGTATTTCAGGACCTAATACTCATCTAGAATGAAGCCAGTCTTTGAACAGGTTACAAGCATTTGTCATTAACCTAGTCTTGACAGGTTCTATTCGGAGAATCCAATCCTGCTTTCTCATTCTTACCATCAATGTATGCCCTATTCTTTAATAAAATCAAATGTTTTTTGCAATTTTCCTTGTGAGCTCGTACAAACATCCTGGCAAAACTAAGCAAAGTCAAAATAGCTGCAGGAGTTTCCAGATAAAAAAAAAAAAAAGGACTTTCTTTAGCTTCAAAAAGCCACATAAAATAGGATGCGAAATTAATTGCCAACCGAATATGAGAAATAGTTTGGAAAGGAAGCACAGAGAGAGAGAGAGAGAGAGAGAGTAATGTTATTGGGGTAAATTCTGTAGTGTATTCAGCTAATCCAAGACAGGTGTGGAAAGGTAAAGAATATGGCAAAGAAGCCGATACGTTGCAAGCTGACATGTACGGACGATGAAGGGAATATTTCTACAAAAGCAAGTGGTGACCTATAACAGGCGCGGGCGGTTTGGAAATGTTGCGTACTGCAGTACTAAACACAGCCATACTTGGCTTTGAAGCAACATATGGTCATTATTGAATAACGAGTTGAGAGCCTTTAAGAAGTGAAACTTAAGAAAATAAATGTTTGAAATATTAAGTTTTTTAATTATGTAATCTATTTTGATTATAGTTGTTCTAATATATAGTCATTTGGAGGACTTCTAGAGCTGAGGTACTGAATCCTTTTTGGACTTTTAATAAATTTGAGTTATTTTTCTTTTGGTTTCTCACTTTTCTAACAACTTTTATCTAACATACTAAATTTGAATTATTGACATTGATTTTAATTGTTATATTAGTAAAATATTAACATTTGTGGAAACTGGGTTCATGGGAAGACAGATTGTTGCCTGTTTCACATTTAATTGAATACAAATATCTCTACTTTACATAAATCGTCCAAGGCTGAGGAACAGTGGATTCCAATTGATTCTACCGATTATAGGCATTACATCAACAAAATACTATCTATTTATGGGCATTTTACTCGGAATCATTACATTTATGTAAAATACATAAATGTTTGTAACTAAAATTGAAAAATTGTTACACTAATATTTTTACGAAAGGGAAACTAGTAGATTTTGTATTTAACAAATTTTAAATATGTGAAAGTAAAAAAGATTGCGCCCATAACATACCACCTTTTTATGAGTTTTTTTACATTACATCAACAAAATACTAGCTATTTATGGGTATTTTACTCTGAATCATTATATTTATGTAAAATACATAAATGTATGTAACTAAAATTGAAAAAGTATTATACTTATATTTTTACGAAAGGGAAACTAGTAGATTTTGTATTTAACAAATTTTAAATATGTGAAAGCAAAAAAGATTGCGCCCATAACATACCAGCTCTTTATGGGTTTTTTGCATTACATCAACAAAATACTACTCCCTCCGTCCCACTTTGATAGTCCTGTTCTTTTTTTCACACAGTTTAAGAAAAAATAGTTAATTTTGTTGGAACAATCAATTTAGGTAGTTATTTTCCTAAAATACCCTCACATTAATTAGAGTATAACTTTATGGGAACTTGAATTGATGGTAAAAAAAGAATCAACTCTTATTAAATGGGGTAGGTTTATAGTAACAACAACTTACATTGAATAAGAGTATTTTAGGAAAATTAAAATACAACTACATTCTTCAATTGGAAAGTGGACTATAATTTGGGACAGACGAAAAAGGAAAACAGGACTATCAAAGTGGGACGGAGGGAGTAGCTATTTATGGGTATTTTACTCTGAATCATTACTTTTATGTAAAATACATAAATGTATGTAACTAAAATTGAAAAAGTGTAACACTTATATTTTTACGAAAGGGATATTGGTAGAATTTGTATTTAACATAAATTAAATATGCTAAAGTAACATTACAGGTGATTTTATTAGTTACTTAATTTGTTGGCAAGAAACAAGGTTTCTTTTGCAAAATTTGTTCATTAGATTTTTCCAAATAATTAGGGTATAAAGGTAAATTTTCACAATCTTTTGCTAGCAATAGGCCCTAATTTCCTCCTAGGCAGTGACGAAGACAAGATTTTTTCCTTGGGGTGGAGGGGCCAAAATGATTGACAAACAAAATTATTTTAATATGTTATGTTCAAAATAATTTTCATGTATTTAAATATATGGCATCCTAAAATATCAAATATTAACTTTAATTATAAATATATGCCTATTTAATAAATATGTAGCATAGTCATAACTAAAATTAAGACAAGAAATAACATTTGATTAAATATTTTATAGGAAAAAATGGACTTTTCATCCTCAAAGTTTGGATGGTTGGCCAATTTCATCCTCAAAGTTTCACCCCAAACATATTGCATCCTCAAAGTTTCGTAATTTTGGCAAATTAAGGACAATTGACGGGAAATGAAGAATTGATCGTTAGAACCAAGGATTTTACCCATAAATGGTACTCTGTTCTTATAATGGAGGAAAGTCATAAAGAACTAGTGTTTTATTGGAGAACGGGTTTATTTTTATTTTATCCGATAAATAAATTTGTTTATGGAAAAATAGATACTCTATTCTTATAATGGAGAAAAGTCATAAATAGTTGGTGTTTTATTGAAAAACGAGTTTATTTTTATTTTATCCGATAAATAAATTTGTTTATGGGAAAATAGATACTCTGTTCTTATAATGGAGGATAACCATAAAGAGCTTGTCTTTTATTGAAAAATGGATTTATTTTTATTTTATCCGATAAATAAATTTATTTATGGAAAAATGGGTACTCTGTTCTTATAATGGAGGAAAGTTATAAAGAGCTGCTGTTTTATTGGAAAACGGATTTATTTTTATTTTATCCGATAAATAAATTTGTTTATGGGAAAATGGGTACTCTGTTCTTATAATGGAGGAGAGTCATAAAGAGTTGATCTTTTATTAAAAAATAGATTTATTTTTATTTTATCCTATAAATAAATTTATTTATGAAAAAATGGATACTCTGTTCTTATAATGGAGGAAAGTCATAAAGAGCTGGTCTTTTATGGGAAAGTGATACTTTATAGAATGTGGCCGCGATTTGGTTTATGAAATTATTCCAAATAAAAATTTAGAATAAATTTGTTTGTTTTGAAAGTTGTATAACGGTCGTTAAAACTCTAGAGATTGGCAAAAAAATTTTGGGGTTGCAGAAAGGCAGAGGGAAGAAGGAGAAGAATGAAGCTTTTCGTCCGTTGCAATTATTCCGTTAAAAATGGCTCCATTTGGTTTTACCCATTTTTTGTTAGGTAAAACCGTTTGTTCTAACAATCAATTCTTCATTTCCCGTCAATTGTCCCTAATTGGCCAAAATTACGGAACATTGAGGATGCCTTTCTGCAACCCCAAAATTTTTTTGCCAATAATTCAAGGGAGGAAAAAGTGTATTACTATAGGTTAAGGGGTAAACTGCAATTAAGTATATAGTTAGTCATGATTTTATTGCATTTAACCCCAACAATTAACGTTAGACATAGTGTATTCTGGTGCAAAAACTTCAATTATTATGAACACTGGTTATGACACACCGAATGGGTGTGGTAATAATAAAAATTATGATAAAAAATTAGTTTAAATGTCAAGCAGACAAAGGTACTTGAAAATACTTTCACATTAGTGCTTAATAAATAGTTGGCAGTTTGTTTTACTGTAACCAATTTTGTTTCCAAAACTTTTAATAGATGAAAATTAAAGAATAGGAAACACTGGATAGATATGGCTTTGCAAAAACTTTGATATAATTATTGTGTATACGAATTCAAATTCATTTGCTTACTAATGAATTTGAATTTACGTCTAATTGAATTATTTATAAATAGGCAGTCAAAATCTATCCATTTAATAGCCGCTAATTAATTGGTTTTATTCAACTACCCATTTGAAACTAATAAAATCACATATCCATTTGGATTAACATGGTGAATAAGAGAGCAATGAAAAGTAGAGAAATGTCGAGGGAAAGTGCTGCATGAACAGAGAATGTAGAAGGGAAGGGAAATAATGTTGTACTTTGCTATCTATTACTATTATTATTATATTAAAGGTAAATCCACCAACCGCACATATAATTTAGGTATTCAGGCAAAATCTTAGAAATAGCTTTATTCAGGCAAAATATGCTCCAACTGCACAAAAAAATGGCCCATTACACCAAAAATTATTTCTATTATTAAACAAATTCAACTCACATACATGTATATGG